GATGTAGCATATGAAGGTGATGATGATGAAGACTTCACATTTGATGATGAAAATGTAAGTGACAGTGATGATGAAGACTTCACAGTTGATGATCAAAATGCAGGTAATGATGATGAAGACTTCACAGTTGAGAATGAAGATACTCATGCAGGCTGTAATGAAGATGAAAATGCAGGTCTTCATGATGATTATGATGAAGCTTATAGAGATTCTGAGTATGGGCCAAGTGAGGAGTTGATAAGTTTAGCCAGTGAAAGTGATGAGGATAATGAAGGCAGTGGTGCAACTTCGCAATACTTTAATGCTAGGAGGGACTTGGGAATGAAGAAACTAGAAGTTGGGCAGAAGTTTGGTTCTGCGGCTAATTTTAGAGAAGCGGTAAGGTATACAGCAATAAAAAGGGAAGTTTGACCTCACATTCACGAGAAATGATAGAGATAGAGTGACTATCATATGCAAGGCAGAATGTGGATGGAAGATTCGTGGATCTACCAACACTAGTGATTACTCATTTGAAATCAGAGAATTCAATGATAACCATAATTGTACTGGTGTAAGGGTGAATGGATAGGTGACATATGGTTGTATAGCTAAGCATTATATAGGGACAGTTAGAGCTGATCCTAGTTGCACAGTGCATGAAATGGCACATGCAGTTGAGAATGAACTTGATGTTGTTATAAATAAGCAGAAAGTTAGAAAGGAAAAAAGTTTGGCTCTAAAATGATTGAGGGTAATCAATCATGAAGAACAGTTTCGAAGAGCAATAAACTATTGTCAGTTGATACTTGAAACGAATCTTGGAAGTGTTGTTCATGTACGAACAATGCCATATAGTGATGATGGGGTTTCATTGTATAGAATTATTTTTTCTTTAGAAGTAATGTGGAGAGGATTCAGAGAAGGATGTAGACCATTTATTGGTTTAGATGCAACGTTCCTGAAGGGGCCCTATGGGGGCCACATGATGTGTGTTGTTGGTAGGGATGCCAACAATGGCTTATTCCTTATTGCAATTGCTTGTGTGGAGTTAGAATGTAGGGACTCTTGGGAATGGTTTTTGATTGAATTGTTCGTGTTGGTTGGCAACTATGAAGATTTCGCTTTTATATCTGATAGACAGAAGGTAAGAAACTTATTTTTAACCTTTATATTTATCACTATGATGATTTATATTCTTTAACTTTCTATTTACTTTAATTTGCACATGGTTAATTTGTAGGGACTAGTTGAGACATTTGACAACGGATATCCTGGAGTAGATATAAGATTCTGCCTGAAGCACTTGTATGACAATTTCAAGCTGAGATATAAAGGTACTAAATTAAGGAACTTATTCTGGGATACAGCCACTGCATATACTACTTCTGAGTTTGACCTTTTAATGCAAGAAATGAGGTGAATAGATAAAAATGCATGTGAATGGTTAATGAATATTCCTAAGAAAGTGTGGGCAAGGTCATCATATAGTGGCAAGAGTAAGAGTAGCCTATGTGTTAACAACATGTGTGAGTTTTTCAACAATTTTATTGGGAAGGCAATGGAAAAACCTTTAGTGTTTATGTCTGAGATGATTAGAAAATAGCTTATGATAAGGTTTGAGAAGAATAGGGTTAACATGGTAAGGGTAAATGGATTGCTATGCTCAAATTTTTTAGAAAAAGGTAGAAAAGATTTCAGTTCATGTGAGAAGGCTGCATGTGGAGTCTACTGGGAATGACAAATATAAAGTGAATAACATGTCATACCAAGATGCAGGAGGTGGTGATTATGTGAATGTGGTAAAGAAATCTTGTTCATGCAAGTATTGGAACATAAGTGGCATTCCATGCAAGCATGGAGTTGTTGTGGCAGTGTTCAAAAGAGAGGATCCACACACATATGTGAACCCGTACTATTCTAAGGACAGTTTTTTTAAGTGTTACGGCCATGTGATAACTCCAGTGTCATTGAGAAATATGAGAAGAGAACTGGGCACTGCTCGTATTTTGCCACCACCTCATAGGCCTCAACCAGGAAGACCTAAAAAAAATAGGAAGAAAGGTGCAGATGAGCCTTTCAAGTAGTGGTGTGGCCAAGAAAAAGCAAAAATTGACATGCAAAAAATGTCTACAAAAATGCCACAATGTTAGAACTTGCAAGGCAGCTGAACCTATTCCAAGACCACCTAGAGGTAGAGGTGGAAGACCACCACTTCAAAGGAGTACGGGTGGAGTATGTGGTGGCAAGGATGAGAGCCTTAGTGGTAGGGGTGGTGGAAGAGGTGGTGGTAGAGATGGTGGAAGATATGCAGATGGTGGTGGAAAACATGCATATATAAATGGTGGTGGTGTTGTTGTTCGTAGGGGTGGAAGAGGTGGTACATTTGATGGTGGTAAATCTCCAATAAATTTTGCTGCTGCTAAGGCTGCAGGTGGTGATACAGGTGGTGTAAGGGCTGCAGTTAAAGGTTATGGTGTTGGTGTAGGAGGTGCTTTGGGTCATTCACAGGTAAAAATGTCTTAACCTTTAAATTCCATTTTATTGATATAAATGCTTGTATTTACAGTGTTATTAAAATTTTATATATTTTATTAGGCATCATCATCTAACCAACAAGTGGTGGATATGAATTATCCATACACACAAGGAGGAACACAAGATTGAACATTCCTCTTACTAATGTTCGTGAATCAAGTAAGTAACATTGCATAAGACTAAATTTTACAAGAATTACGATTTGTTGTACATGGAACATAAAGTCATTAAATTTCTTTATTGTTTTTACAGGTTGGTTGGTGGATGATAAAGTGATGGTTGATGACTGTGCACTGACTGTGCATTGAATTTTAGGAAATTTGATGATTAATGGTGGATAACAGTGCAACAGTTTTTTTGTAAAGCTTGCGTTGGACAGTACTATGGTTGTTGTGTTTTTTTTTCTTGGAACCTGGTGGATGACATTTATATTAGTTTTGTAATCACAACCAAACTTGATCAGTTAATGCCCAAGTTTTATTTTTTGGTTAGTATGTGTGTACTTAATGGTATGGACATGTTATGAAATGCTTTTATGGTATTTATGGTATGAACATGTTATTTATTACATTTGTGATCAGGTTATTGTATGACATGTCTCATGTGAACAGGTTGCATTTGGATGGATTGTTAAATTGCATTTGTAAACAGGTTTCATTTAGATGGATTGGTCAATTGCATTTGGATGGATTGCTGTATTGCATTTGTAAATAGGTTTTATTTGAATGGATTTGTCAATTGCATTTGAATGGATTGTTGTATTGCATTTGTTAATAGGTTATTGTATGACATGTTTCATGTGAACATTTGGTATCAATGTTGTGAACATGCCATTGAAACTACATATGCTAACATTCAAAGGACATAAAATAATTGTAATACAACCACCTTAAGAGCAGAGTACATTAACACCAACTTGCAACACAAAACAACTTGCAAGATCCTAAACCAAACAACATATACAATATTTGAAACATACAAGCCACCTTCAACTCTTAAGCAACTTAAACAACACAAAACAACTTGCAGATCCTAAACCAAACACAAAAGCACAACTAGTCCCTACACCTCCTAATCCGAACCACGAACCAGGCTATTTCTCTCCCAAAGTTGACACAAGAGCAACAATAGAAATGATGATACAGGCTACAACAAGTTTCTTCATCCATTGAAGACTTCCTTCGATGGCAGTCAATATAGTCTTCAAGTAAGCAATATCAATTCTATGAACTTGTTGACCAACCTCAATCTCTTTCCCATTTGCATTTGAAGTTCCTATTGAAATTGGTCCACACCATTCCCAAAATCCACATCTTCTATTTCAACATCTATAGTATAGCTTTCCGATATTGTCAAATTCATCAGACCCTGTTACCAGAATTATAGCTGTTTTTTGACAATCACATTCAGCAATGGTATACCTTACATCAAGACTCCCATGTTGATTGCTTGAAGAAGACATTGTTGGATTAAAATCTATAAATGAAAACAACATTTTATTTCAATAAAAAACAATCAAAACCAACTTATTACAATAAAAATTTGATAGTGGTCATGGCTGAAAACTAAGGTAGATATTGAATTTACGAGTTAAAAAATAAAATTCACATAAATAGGGCTACGGTAAGAGATTTCAATTAGGGCTTCGGTATGGGGGTTTCAATTAGGGCTAGGTAAGAGGTTCCAATTAGGGTAGCAAATTATATTCAATTAGGGCAACAAATTACCATCAAATAGGGCAGCAAATTACCTTCAATTAGGTCTTTAAAATCACTTCGACTGATTCTTTGAATGGAAGAGAGAACGACGGCTTCAGATTACTTCCTCAAAAACTTCCACCCATGATTGCTTAAAGGATTTCGTAGAAAAACCTCTCAACTTGCGCTGTCCTTTCAACCCTCCTATACTTCCTTTGTGGATCACAATAATAGCTTGAAATCGTAGCTCCAATGAAGCTTTGCATTTGACCTCCAATGAAGATTTGAATTTGCAGGGCAAAGGTGAGATGGAAGAGAAGGGCGAATGAAGGGGGAGGTGAATATTATTTATACATATACATATAAAATATACACACAAAACGCGGTAGTTCTGTGCTTTGGTGACTTAAATGTCACCAAGGGTATTTTAGTAATTGATAAAATACCTATTTTGACTTTTTTAATTGATTTGGTATATCAGAAGGGTAGTTTCGTCCTTTTATTACAGACATGGTGCAATGTAAACAATTTTCATAGTGTTGGAGATTTTCTAAAATAAGTTAGGGATATTTGATAAAAAAAAATGATAATATTGGGATTTCGTGAAATTTGCCCTTAGTTAAAATAATTATCAATTCCTTTTGTTACCCTAATAATGTCAAATTCTATTATTATTATTATTTTTATTTTTATTAAGAGGAGATTATAACACAATGACCACGAGTGAGTCTGTGTGGCCTATATGTATGTGAGTGACACATATCTATATATACATATAAATTCTTGTAACTGAAAAATCAGTGGCATGTATTCTGCGAGACTCTGTGGATGACAAAGCTATCTCTAGTCTCTCTTCTCTGCTGAAGTTCTCTTTGTGAAAAAAAAAAAAGGTTCTCTTTGTTAAACTTTAACCCCTCTCTCTCTCACACACACACACAAAAGCGTAAGAAGAAATGTTTGATTGATTGTAGAGAGAGAAACAAAACTAGGAAAAGCATCCCCAGATTAGATTCAATCTCTCTCTCTCCAAATGGCAACAACAGGAGGGTCGATTGCGGTCTCGAGCTTTCGGTCGTCTTCCTATTTCAGCCATAAAGTCAACGTCGCCTCCACAGTACACCCAATGGTATTCACAAGAAAACCCCTATGTATGTATGTGTATATGTGTGTGTGCAAAACATATCAGCTTTAACTTGAATAATGCTTAATTTCAATGCTTCAGTACTAATTTGTGAGTTCTATTTCTATTTCCGGTCTTACTTTAGGAGAAATGCTTGAGCCTATTTGTTTAGTATCTAAAAGAAATAAAGAGAAAATTCATATTGACACAATACAGTTGTTTGGTTCTTGAGAAAATCTGTGGAAAAGGTACAAAAAAAATGTGAATTTTACATTTGTAGATAATTTTCCATCATTTGGGTGGCAGTAAATTAAAACCCAATTCCAGCTCTCAGTAAACTATACTCCTATTTGATTATATATGTATTAGCTAATAGTTCACAGACATGGCTCTGTTTGGTTGTTTGGAAAATCTGCATATAGCAAATGATATTTAACTTCATTTTCTAGGAAAATTCCATCATTTAAGAGCCAATGTAACAACATTTCTACTCAACTGAGCTTAATGTAACTATGTGGTTTAGTTGAGCTGAGATTCTCATCCATGGGGAACCAAACTCCCATTTTCTTTTGTTAATTTCGTTGTTGAAATTCAAAGTGTTTGACATGTATCCTATTATGGTGTTTGTGTCACAGATGGTCTGTAAATTAGTGAATTCACGCCGAAAATTTGTCTGTTTCGCGGTGCAAGAATCGTCAACATCTACAGGTAAATTTTTGGGATTCTATGCATATGGCTTGATTTAATTTCCAGAATATCTCCCAATGATACAGAAATGTTTATGAAGTCGATTGTGAGTAGTTTGTCTTTAAAATTTATAATTTTTAAAATTAGTTGCTGCTGAAACAAAGGAGGGGAAGGAGGCAAAGGCCACCAAGGAAGCCGCCCCGGCAAAGCCAAAGCCTGCTGCAAAAGCTCCAGCCAAGCCGCTACCTGAGATGATGGAGGAGGATGTGATTCCATCATTGAAAACAATTCTCGAAACTCAAGATGATCTCTCTGAGATTGAGCTATCTTTTCAAGACAACAGGGTTAGTACTAATATATTTGTTCTTTGTCCATCAAAACCAAAATTACCGTCATTAGACTCCTAGTTCAGAAAAAAATATGAACTACTAAGGGCATGTTTTAATGGTATCGAAATTGAATGGAAACATTCACGATTCATGTAGCATTAGAAAGTAAAAAACCATCATCTGCTATGGTGCAATTCATAAAAATAGGAAAGCATACCATCTCTCTTCCTAAGGGCCTGTCTGGCAACCGTTTTTACCGCGCGTTTTGTGTTGCTGGTGGTGTATTGATTGTGCAATTCATAAAAATAGGAAAGCATACCATCTCTCTTCCTAAGGGCCTGTTTGGCAACCATTTTTATTGCGTGTTGCCGGTGGTGTATTGTTGCCAAGCAAAACACCCCAATATGTTTGGTAACTGGTTGTTGCCATTTGAATAGTACAGCATTTGTTGCTGAAAAGAGGCCCAAATTTTCTAATGTTTTCGCATTGTAGCAAAAACACGGTAGTGGTGAACAGTACCCAAAAAACACTGTAGTGGCCTATTTTAACTAGTCATTTTGTTAACCAATCATGCAACACTTTTTTAACAAACATGTCTTCATGTTTTTGGTTCCAAAAATCTTGCAACAAATTTTGGGGTACCAAAAATGCTCCCAATCCCAAATGAGCACACTTCACAACAAAACAAAAAACGTTGTTTCTGTTTCAAATGAAAACAGAAACGCAAAACGAAATTGGTTGTCAAACGAGTCCTAAATGATTGGTTTTAGGCTTTCTTAAAATGACCAAATTCACATTGTTTAGCATCATTCATAATATGCTATCATTTCTACCTTGAAATATATGTAAAAGTGAATGAAACCCTTCAAATTAAGGGGACATGACATCCAAACAGACCCTAGTAGCCAAATTTAAAAGGATTCTAACTTTCTCTTATTTTGTTGGGAATTGATTACTTTCTAACAGCTAGAAGGTTCCTTTCAAAAGAAGGGCAATCCCTATTCATTTTGGGCCTTCTTCCCCAATGGAGTTCTCACAGGTAAATCTTCTATCGGCACAGTTGAAACTGTGCCCCCCAATGACGCCCCCATTGCATCTGAACTGATGCTCCCCACCATCTTCCTGTGCTTGGACAGGTCCAAAAGGGTTTTCTTTGTCTTCCTACGGTTCGGGAGTGAGCACTGTGGAGCCCTTCCTCATTGATGAGAAGAGAATTACAGCAAAACATGTTGTGTTTTGGGTTGAGAAGCGTTTGGCAGCGCAAGGAATAATTCCGGTTTGGAAAGAATGATGACTTACAGAGTTTCCGTTTCGATTCAAATACAATGTATGATCATCACCCATTGTATCAATTTTTTTGGTTTTGTTGATGATGATATAGAATCCTTTGTATTAATAAGACACTGCAATTGTTAATATCTAATCACATTTGTTATATAGTCAAAAAATTCACAATTGCTGATCTAATATGATAATTTTGAATATCTGAAGCTCACAAAATATTGCCTATGTTCTGCTACGTCTCTTAGCATCTCTTTGCATTGCATATCTGCTGACTAGTTCAAGTCTTAACATAAACCTAGTTTAATGAACAGGTCATGCGCACTCATGCTCAAATAGAATGGACATGATTTTTCAGTTGCTTGACATGGAGCGGGTTTGTCACGAAATTTTATTCGAGATGAGATTTATTTTAAATGGTTTAACTCTTACCATTAAAATATGAATTTGGACTTGGATTCACATGAATCCGCTCCATTTCATCTTATACCCGCTCTTTATTTGATGAAACTAAAAATTTTAAGAACTGAATTTTCAGTGCTGAAGTTTTTAAGTAGTAATTAAAAAATTAATATTTTTTTTGACTTTTCAGTGTTTAGCCTTTAGTAAACTGAAGTTCCTGTGACTTAAAATTTTACACTATTTTAAGCGACTATTTTCACACTATTTTAAGTGACTATTTTCAGTGATATTCAAATTACACTCGATCACTTAATTAAATAAATGTTGAATCCATTCAAAATTAAGTGTTGAATATCAAACAATACCTTAGGGAGCAAGTGCAAGACCGAAAATGGCAAAATCTAAGTCACACGGGTTTAAGCAAAAATGCAAGTGGAGCGTGAAAGCAACACCGGTTTAAAAGAATTGTGTAACCTATCTCACTAAAGCTAGCCAGTCCGAACTTTTATCTTTTTTCCTTAATTGATACTCACACACCTATACCTCGACTGAACCTTGAACCCTGACCTTCCTTTGAAAAAACCACTAGCCCGAGCTTTTATCAATTACATCAAAACAAACAAATGTCTCCAGGGTACCCTTTTATCTGGGGCATGAAGCCTACTGGTAGAAGATTCGGGTTTATGGCTTCAAGGCATGCATGTACATTTTGCTCTCATTTCCTGATTGACAACACTTGGAATTTCTCATATTTGGGATATCATACTGAAATAGTTTCCACAACAATTTCTTCGAAATTATCCCCTTTCATGCTCTTAGCTATATTTATTATTTGAGAACAGCAGTAGAAGATACCCAGGAAACAATCAGAATTACAGGAGTCTTACTGTTCCAAAAAATTTCTGTTAATAAATAGAAACAAATGCAAATTCCATCACCAATTCCTGGGTAAACCAAGACTCTAGTGATCGAACGCCAAACAAAGCAGTAATGCGGTTGATCTCCTAAAACAAAGATGGCACTTGGATTCATCCATTCGAGCACAATTCATGCTAACCATCATGAATACACAAGGATGGGGATGGTATAAGCACAATTCATTGTCAAGTAAATAAAGGAAAGGCCTAAATAAGCAACACACATCATTGTTAATGAACATACAACAGGTTCACTGATAATACAATTCAAAGTATTCTGAAAAGCCAAAGCCATATAAAACCTTCAAGTTCCGTGATTCGTGATTATTAGATGTCAGGAGTAGCATTCGCATTTCGCATTGCACGCCGAAGCTCGCTCAAGAAATCCATCTGTGACCCGGAAGAAGGTCCAACACTTGCTGTTGGAGGTATGAACTGAAGACAACCAGTTTAAAAACAAATTGTATGAGAACCAAGAGGCTCTAGCCTAGATGGTATACGCTCTACCCCCCATAGGGGAGGTTGGGTGTTCGAGCCCCGGTGGGGGCAAAATTTAGTGTGTGTTGTGTTTGTGTGTGTGTCTACTTTATTATTCATATATATATATATTGTATGAGAGAGAAAGAGAGAGCTGGAAAAAGTTCAATTTTCACCTGATGAGGAAGTCTAAAGTGCCCCCATGCTGATGCACCACTCCCCGAGTACATAACAGGCTTTTCTGAAAAACATGATGAAAATTAAATGAAGTGCCAGTCAGGTCGGTAATGGGATTGTATAATGGCCTCTTGCTTGTGCATACACTGCATTTCTAAGACAAGCTTTAGACATGAGGGGTGACGGCCAATTTTCTTTTTCCTCAGGATTCAGTAGACAGAAAGTTTTATGCTATGAAGTATAATGTTTATTAGATTCACTTCACTTATTCCAACTGAAATTGTTATTGCATGAACACGTATCCAATTGAGCATTACTTTCTAGTTCCATCTCACGGGAGGGTGGTTATTTTCTAGACATGACAACTAGGAAACATGCAAAGATGACCTTCATGTCATGTCCAGCACAGGGTTCCAAAGATCTTACTAACACTTAAAAATCTCTTGATTAAAAAAGGATGCAAGAACTCCCAACTGGGACATATTGTTTTAGGTCTATCCTCATCATACATTGTTTATAATCATAAAAAAATATATCTATTTTATAGGGTAAGCTAATAATATTAGGTGATGCTCAAATAAGTTTAAAGGTAGTCTGTTTATGTGAATTTTAGATTTGTTTCATCAGAACTCATAAGAAAGGATATGTTATTCATATAAAGTTCGGACCCCGATCACAATTAGTCGGGGCCCTTTTTTCGGTAAGTAAAACAAAAATGTTCTTGATGAATAATCAACTCTTTGAGGAATTACCAATTTGTTGCCTTTTGTATGGTTGAATTGCAAATAAGTGCACCATGTAGAAGAAATGCTAATTATACAACTTTCATGGGACTATGTTTATAAGGGGAAAAAAAACCATATATAAACCACTTGAAGCCGGTCTTAAGAGTAAGATGTCACATGCAAAGCACAAAAGCAGTCAAAGTTGTCATCATCATCATCATCCTAAAATCAGTCAAAATAAACAAGCATTCAAAAGTTTTAGATGTTCACTCTACTAACCAGCTAAATCTGTTGATGGATTATTGTATGAATTCATTGCAGCCAACCAACCTGCAATGGAAGATTCAATAAGAATGGTGATTCACAGATTTGTTTTTAACTTAAAACTCATTTTCTTTATATAGCTTGAAGCAAGGTAAATCACTCACCATAAAGTTGAACCTCATTTTAAAACAAATAAAATTGATGTGAATATCCATATCAGTAATCATGCATAACAGCCAAAGGATGCTCAAAGAAATGCAATTATATGAGTATCTGTAAAAGAAACATGAGACTTACTACAGGTTCACGATACAGAGGAATATATAATGTGACAATATAAAGTGAAACTCAACCAAATCATATTCCAACAATGGGTTTTCTGTACATTTGCTTCTTCATTACAACAACTGGCCAAATTTTGTGGAAAATGCATGATAGCCAATATCAAATTTATTTCCTAATTAGACCTGGCAGAATTGAACTGGAACAGAACTTCATTCAGGTGAATAATAAGCAGAACTAGAGTACTAGACGGTGGAAGATTCAAATAAGTGAAGACAGCAAACTCTAATCAAACAATATCAGGCACAAAAGACATTAGCAAGCTCTAATCATATGAACTAGAGTACTAGACCGTGCAAGATTCAAATAAGTTAAGACAGCAAACTCTAATAAAACATTATCAAGAACAAAAGACATTAGCAAGCTCTAATTATATGAACTGGAGTACTAGACCGTGGAAGATTCAAATAAGTGAAGAGAGCAAACTCTAATCAAACATTATCAAGCACAAAAGACATTAGCAAGCTCTAATCATATGCAGTAAACGATATTGGCTAAACTCTAATTATTAAAACCTAAAAAAAGCAGGGAATTTAAATAATATTAATAATAATTTAAAAAATCCCCGAGAATTTAAATCTATAACCACAAACCATCACTTGTTGGAATTTTTAGCAAGAATTGGTAAACCTTTTCCAGTCAAAAACTCTTGCCCAAAACATCATGCTTGTACATGTAACCATGTAGGCCCCCTATTTCAGCATGTCATTTCATGTGGAGCACATCAGCGCAGACATATTTGCTTTTATATTAAACCCGAAATATTATTTAAGTGAAGAAAAAATACAGGAGAAAAAGTATAAGAGGTAAAAGGACACCAGTTTTGGTACTAAAACTTATGTTCAAGTTCATTTTGAGTTAATATCACCTCATCAAATACTTTGTATCCAGGAATAGTCATATCAACTGAAAAGAAAATGACACTCCACATAAATTAACGACTATGCATACAACGATCAATCAAAGATAATGAAGGACACACATACGGTCATTCATAAGCTGAAAAGCTTCGCTATTACAACATCCCTGTAAGGGTATTAACCCTGTACGAGGATTTTCATTCACAAGAATGCTGCTTCCTGCATCCCCTTGATCCACAATAGGAGCATTTTTTGAGGAAGCACATTGATTCTTCTCGTCATTGGCATAAATGTTGTTTGCTCGTTCAAATCGATCTGCAAAATTAAGTAGATCAGAAACAGCATTCAAAGTACTGTCTTAGCAATTGTGTATGCAATGCTTCATAACAGAATGCAACACCGAATTCCTTGTTTCTTCAACTATCAGTTCAGTAGTTATTACACAGACAAGGAGACAAGTAACAATATGTTCATGGGGACGACAGCTAAATGCTACACCCATTGCTAACTTCTGTTTTTTCCAGTTGGTGATCTAAAACCAGAAACACTTTATCCTGTGTGGCCAGAGCCAATTTTTTTTCCTTTCTTGACTTTCACTGCTTTGCTCAGGGATGCAGGTCTGAAAGTAGAAATTTCACTTTTTAATGGCTAGATCATCGAATGAGATTTTTTTACGGTGCTTTCATACTCTATTCAGTTAGTAGTCTGAAAATAAATGAAGTTCAATGTTAAGTGCTTATGATAACTAATTCAGATTATTTTACTTTGTCTTCCTTGGCCCGACAATTTATTTTTCTAATTTTCTAACATTGTGGCCTGAAAACAGACAAAATTTCCATTTTTGTGGCCAGGAATACCAAGATCAATTTAACTTTTTTCATAGAACTGTAGCGTAGGTGGCGAGCTTGATTATAGTGAGTACTGTCAGAAAATCGAAGACAGTAAATGAGTGTGTGAGCCTCAATACTGTCAAAATTTTGATACTTTAAGCGAAGTAATAGTGCTTAGTTCAGTGCAGGAGTAGAAGGCTTGAAGCACCTTCTTTTGGAACTTTGTTGGAGAAAGTTGGTGCTGTTTGGTTAGTTCTTTGAAAATAGTTTTCAAAAACTCTTCAAACGGGAAAAAGTATTTTGGAACTAAAAAACCTGTTCTCTAAATTTGGACCTTAATTTCAACTGTGTGTTCAGAGAACAGTTTTCGAAGAATTGTCAAACAAAATTTTGGAACCATTTTTCAAAAAAAAAAAAACAAAAGCACATGTCATTTCTTTCATGTCCCAAGAATTACAAAATAATAAATTAGATGTGAAGATTTTTACCAACTTCAACCCAATATTTTTTATAGACAAATATCATTTTAGGATATGTCATAGTTGGAAGTCATAATAACATAAAAAAAAATGTCTAAAGTTAATAATAAACTGAATTTTGTATGAAATATATTCTAGAAGATCAACTTTCAGTGCAAGGAAGCTCAATCAAGATGCAAGAAGCATTTCAGTTGTGATGACACCTAAACTCCACCGATAAACAACTCAACCATGACTATTTCCACAAATGATCATCTGCGTATGGTCACTAGTAAAACCTGTCATTCCTTAAATATTTCAAAATCACCGTCACCCCTGAGAGTTTTCAACATCTCCTTAAATATTTCTGAATCACCGTCATCCCTGAGAGTTTTCAACGTATAGCCATACATGCATCCAGTTCTATAATTAGCTGCACAGTTTTCTTTTTATTTATAAAAGAGTAATGATACTTGCACCGATTTGTTGCAATGAATTATCTAACTGAATATCTCTGATTAGTTATTTTTGCACAATACATGTAAGTGGAGGGCCCCACTTCTTTATTTATGCGATTTGTTGTAGTGAATCGCCAGACTTATTTCTTTTAATTGATCCATTTATGCATAAATAAAGAAGTGGGCCCTCCACTTGCATGTATTGTGCATAAATAACCAATCAGCAACATTCGGTTAGGTAATTCACTGCAACAAATCGGTGCAAGTATCATTACTATATTGGAGAATACGTTGAGTGAAAAAGACTGAAGGTACAGTAATATGGGAAAAAGTGGTTCCTAGTCTCAGAAGTGCTTTACTGAGAAAGATAAATGGCTTTGTATTAGATTTAAAGTTTATGCCTAGTGCCTACAGCAAATTGTACATAACCCAACTTAAATCAGTTAGTATATTACTATAATTTACCATTTTGAAGCAAAGATTTGAATATATGACTCACCTTAATATAGCTCACAAGACCTCAATTTAGTTGCACAATAAGCTAATTACACAGCAAGCTAATTGCAAAATATGACTTCCTTTTTCAGTCCTTCTGCCATATGATAAAAGTATCTAGATTCCAGTCCCATGATCCAAAATTTCAACACCTACCCACTCTCAATTAAGATTTTTTTCCCCCATTGGACCAACAAGTCATTGAAGGCTAATTAAACAACTTAGGCCAACCAACCAATAATAATAATAACAATAATAATAATAAAATAAAACCTGTTTGCCATTACACATTTTGTTGTCAAGTCAGTGTTACTTGGTAAAGGTCATTAATAAGCTTAAATGGCAAAGGTAGTGTTTAAACCCAGCAAGAAGTCTGAACGCAGACCTGTAATACCATCAAAATATCAGCCTAACCAATGGCCCACCTTGTATCTTAATATTTTTTTGTAATATAATTTTGCAGTAAGCTTTACTTGGATATCTTAATATTTTTCAAGGAGAAAAATGACTATATCTTGGATCAGATTATTAAAAAATAATAATAATAAATAAAAATAAAATAAAACATAAGTGAAATAAGTCGGAAATGATTGTCAACGGATTTTCTACTAGAGAAAAACAATTGCTTATCCTTGATACATAGACAGACATTACAGAACCAAGTTAAGTACACATATTAATGCATGAATTTAGGGCATAGAGTGAATTATTATTATTAAGGAAGCAATGAAGAAACAAATAGTGCACTCTTAGAAGGGAAGGGCCACACGGGATTGGACACCAGTTCTGCTTATTGGGCAAGTTCCTGTTTCGTATTTATTTACTTTATAGTGACTCCATGGAAATAGGATAACATAGCTGGCGGACACATGGGTCATCATAATAGAAGGGAAGGACAAGATCAAGGAAGTATGCAAATTACTGTTAATTAACTTCTCTATCTGCATAGGTGGGACAATGAAATAGATGTAACACAAGGTAGGGAAATAAAATAGACGTAACACCTGATTGCCACCAGACAAAAAAGTTAAAGGATAGCAAAACATAACAAATGGTAGGAAAGAAATCAGGCCCTCCAGAATGGTCAGAGGTCTTGGCTAATACTGCAATGACTTGGTCGGGGGTTGTGTAGGCATCACTGGGCTCCCATACAAATATGACACAGTACAGAAAAAAATAATGTGCCGATTTCATCTCGCACGATATCAAAAAAGCAACTAGCACATCCTCCTAGACACGATGGCAAGTCATAAGGCATCTTATGAAATGTCTTGTGTACTGTGACAGCTCAATTGAAATTACTTTGAGAAACTTATGCAATATATAAGTCCCAACAAGTTAGTCTGGCTTCTCAATAACCTCTACCAACAAAGTCCGTGATGCAAATAATTATTTAATAGCCTTGAAAAGTGTCTAGTCAGAGTAATGTAGTCAATAGTCTCTAGTCAAAGTTTTAATTATGGTATGGGAGATCTGAATATGTCACGGGAATAGTAGAGCCTGTAATTAATGTTCTATGGGGTGGTCTAAAAGGCATTCTAGAGAACTGAAAAAGGACAGACCTAGGGATGGCAATAGGGCGGGTTGGGGCGGGTTTGTCATTCCCCGTCCCCATCCCCGTCCCCGTTTAAATTTGACACCCCCAAAACCGCCTCATAACCGATTATTTTTTTACCCATAAACTCCCCCACCCCATCCTCACTTGTGCCCCGCCCCCAATTAAATTTGAGGGTTTTTTTCGGATTCTTATTGCTACAAAATCAAATGGTGAAAGAGAATCAAAGTAAAAAGTAGATGATCAAATCCAACTGTGAAAAGGTAGAACTTGTTACTTCAATATATATATATATGACTAGGGTCTTAGCATTGATTGGAGATCTGTGGATGGTGAAGGACTCAAGGAGGTCGCATGATGCTGTTGATTCGCTTCATCGCTCGGCTAAGGCTGTGGAGATCTGTGGCCAGAGAAGAAGAGAGAGAAGATCTGAAGCCGTAGGACGTTCGCTTCGTCGCATCACTCACAGCTTCGTTCTCAGGCTCTCATCTCTCGGCTACAGCTTTAGAAGATAGGAATGAGTAAGGTTTATTTAGAAGTGTATATATATATTATATATATATATATATATATATATATATAATATGTTAAATTGGTAAGTACAATAACATGGGAGGGGCTAATAGGAGTAATTCCATATGTAATCGGGGTGGTTGCGAGGCGGGGGTACCCCTCCCTCGCCCCAAATCTGGCCCCTTTTTTTTCCCAACCCCCATCCCCACCCCATTTAAATAAACGGTTCTCCAAACCCGCTTTAAACGGGGCGGGGGCAGGGCGGGGCAGCTCCCCAATGGGTTGGGGTAAATTGCCATCCCTGTTGACACAAACCTCTATATCTGCTGTAACCAAGTCTTAATCAATATAATTTTGATATATTATCAGATTTTAAACTTCTCTTCGGGCTTTAATCTATGCTCCAATGGTGATTGGAATATTTGTAGTCTTCCTTACTATTGTAAGAAGACTTCTGTTCATTTCTGTTTGCTTCAGTTAGTTATTCTCCCAACCACTCAAACTCCATAGGATTACTTTTCTCCCCCAAAGCCACATAAAATGTCTCTCTCCTCCAACTGTAGACATAGAGATTCCAAATTAATAAGAGACAACTTTCACAATCTGATGATCGGTACCTTAGGAGAATAAGGTAGAAGATCGAAAAGAAAATTGGAAGGGAGGAACTGCGCCCTAAACTCTGATATGTCAGAAAGTTCATGCGTCTCAAACTAGACCAAGAGGGGGTGAATAGGTCTTTATATAATTTTAATTAAATATAACAAAAAATTTAAAAGTTCAACTAAATTAATAACTAAAAATTGTAAAGCCAAAACTAAATTTGAAAATACAGTCGCAGAAGAACACCAGATTTACATGGAAAAACATATTAAGGAAAAATCATGGGAACCTAGGCCAAGCCAGAAACAATCCACTACGAAGAAAAGGTTGCAAGCCTAGGTATCAGATTCTAAACTCATAGAATCACCTAAGTTATCTCTAATCCAGACTCATTCCATATGATCAA